TGGGCGTTATTTTGAAATCATAATTTTATTTTTAGGGGGTCCGAATTTCGAAATAACGCTCACGGGCGTTATTCCGCTAAAATATGGTATGAGTCTTTTACACATACACAGATATACTGTAGCACCTCTCTATACTATACACTTCATAGTAGTATAGGTGCAAGAGGTGTTTCTTATTTGGTTAGACTAATTTTTTATCACAGATCCCTTTATGTTCGTCACTTTTCTCACCACTCCAGTTTTTGACAACAGTTGTGTTATACTCCTAAATCAAGATCCCAAGACTGCCTTAGAGTTGTTGGTGTTATCTTGCCACCTGCAGGATTTACTCATACAATCTTACTATCATCAAACCTTCTGTAATGCTGCTATCACACATAGTGTCCTTCTTCTCCATAATGGATCTTCTTCTGAAAATTCCTAAACCAAATTCATACTTCACTTAGACTTCTACAGACTTTTGCATTCTTAAATATTACTAAAAACTGCTTTCAGTAGGACTTGAACCAAAGACCTTGGCTGTGGAGGGTAGGCGCTTAGACGATTTTGACAGGATGTAGGATCGATTTTACTATCACGTGAGTTACATATGGTCATACTACATATAATCATACTACACAGAAATTTGCGCTCATTTTCTTTTGAACTGACATGCAGAAAAAATTGACACTTTGTAAGTATGTAGTACGCACACTTGTAAATACTTATAGTTTTTATTTATTTGTTGTACAAAAAAGTTTCCAAATTGTGCAATATCTGCACAATATATTTTAACTAAAAAGTAACAATAACTAATCGCAAGAGAGAAGTATAAAATTGCTGTTTTTAACATGACAAGCTACAATATGAAGTTTTAGCTATTCTATTTACATATGCTGATATAAAAAAAAAAACCAGATAAAAATTTTTAACAACACGGCACAAAAAATTTTAAAGATCGCTACGCTTTTTTTTGGGCTCAATTTTCTGTGAATTTTTGATAACAAGTAAGTTTAGCAATTTTATACACATATATAATTATTTTTAATATTGTAATGATAAAATATTTATGTGATTTTTATATTAAATGTTTAGTTGCATATAAACTAGGAAAATAATCTTGAAGGAATGCAAAAACTATTAACTAAAGATACGTTTTAATATTATAATCAGGCCTAATATGAATAACAACTGTATAGTATTATTAATTTAGGAATAAAGTCCAAGGTTTTGAATCATTCCAGGTTGTATGTTGCACTCTCTGATTTTTGGCTTTCTCTATATCTGAGATAATTGTAAAGGCACGATCTAAATTATTAATAATAGCTTCCACATGCTGCAAATTATTAGCAGCCAATTCCTCATTAATATGATCAACCAAACTTTGTAATTCTGCTACTTTAGATTTTACCCTTTGATGTTATTCGGTAAGATCTTCATGACATTCATTTATATCAGATTGATCAAAATCATTTAGCTCATGTGTTCTAAAAGTTTCTATACTTTTAGACATATTTTTTAATTTATTCCCATTCCAAATTAAAAAAAGATAGTCAGATTGCCATTTAAAATTTGAATATATTAATCTAATACCCTCAGATTGATTTACTTTTTCTGATGCTTTATAGATTAAATGCTTACATATAAGAAAGCAGTTATGAAAAAAAACTAGACAACTACAAATCCAATGATCCAAATCTATATAATATCGATCTTCAATATTATTAATTGATTTGGTAAGAAGGTTTTTCTATTCTTTTTTGAATTCTTCGAACCATGATGGTATTATTCCATCTAACTTTAATTGTTGAAATCGGTTAGCCTGATCAGGTACAACACATGTGCAGATGATCCATATTAGGTAGTCAAGTTGTGGCCGATTAAATTGATGAAGGTAACAATGCTTTAGAACCCGCCAGTGTGCCTCAATCATCATGTTTGTTTTGCCAAGTGGTATAGTTGTTTTGGTCGAACGTGCCCAGAGACACCACCTTGTAGGCTTATACCAAGAAGACCATAAATAAGCCCACAATATTACAAGATTATTGGCGATGCAAAATTCATATAATTCAGAAATTGCTTTGGTTCATATTTTAGCGGAAGACAAAAATTGACCATTGATGCTAACTGGAATCTTAAGATGCATATTGAAATGGTTTCTAACTATTTTAATAACAGTTTTACGAAGAGCAAGTGGGCAAACTATATAATATTCTTTATTTATATGCTACAGATCTGGTATAAATGAAGAATTTATAAAGTTAAATTCTTTTATAGCTTCCTCATAATTATAATTTAATCGTTCAATTTTTTTAGAACTTCGCAATTTTTTCTTAAGAGCTTTGTCAAGATGCTATTGACAAAGCTGTATATCACAGGTAGGCCATATATTTTTCGCTGCATTTATTTCAGCGAAATCTTTATCAGTATAAAAATAAACAGGATTTAAGCCATTATCACAGAGGGTACAAAAAAAATCCTGTAAGTGCTTCTGTTCTTAATTCTTTTTGATTTTCACTTATTGAAGCTTTAGTAGTATCTAGTATTAAATAGGCTAACAGAAAACCTGAATCTCAACATTACCAACGAGTCTATAAAGTTCAAATCGCCCTTTAGAAGTCTTATAGGTAGCATCATAGTAGACTTCTGTATAGTATAATTGGTTAAACAATTTTGTTATAAAACCAATAGCTGTCACCCTGTCTGTTTCAAGTTGATAGTATAAGATACAATTATTATCTTGTTGCCAATTGAAATATATTCGTGCTGAAATAATATAATTTTCATTTGATCTATAGAATTGTTGAGTATAAAACGACCACCAGTAATAGATTTGCTTGGATGTAATATTAGATAAGTTAAAAGTTTTACGAAGATATTTCCATAATTCCACAGGATTCAAATGTAAATTTCTACTAATTTCTTGTTTTATTTCATTAGAAGTTTCAATATCAGTAGGTTTTTTTATGAAGAGATTTATGATTTAAAACTACTCTAACTTCTTTTGCGGGAATATCAACTTTAATTAATATTTTACCATCACAATTATAACGAACAATTCTTTCACGACTGGAATCTTTGTATTCACGCATAAGCTTATAACTTGGGAACATGCACAATAAGCATTTCTAACACCATGGTAATGAGAAGAAAGGTTTGGCGCTATTGTAGCTCTATATTTACAAATACGCAATTAATTAATTATTATATAATTATATTACTGTTGATATATTTTATTACTTACGTCTAATTATAGCTATCTCCTTCCTCTATTTCATCTATTATTAATTTAGCCATAATTTTAATATCTGATTCAATATTATTAAGAATATCCTCATCAAGTTGAACACAAAAAGAAAGAGAAAGCTCGGCGTTATATTTCAAGTCATCAATTGCTTCGGTTATGTATTTGCTTATTTCTTGAAAAGAAATTAGCTCAATTGTTGGTTGTTTAATGTTAGTGTCATTAACTAATTCACTTTGTTTAGCAGGTTTGTTATTAGTTATTGAGATTCTATAGCAGTTACAAGTTTTGTAAGCTTGCCTTTGTATATGAATGCATCAGAGAAAAGAATGCCAGAACAAGTACTACAAATAGGCATTGCGATTAATAAATATTATAATCGGAAAGGTTTTGAACAAAAGAATTTATTTTGTTTAAGTCTTTGTATACTTAATAATTGGGCAAGTAATTGGAATAAAATTTTAATCAAGCTTTTTTGAAGAAAATACTAATGCCAAAAATCTCTCCTTAAATAACTAAATGCCACAGTGGCTGTTTCAATAAATATGTTTAGTAAGTCTCAGTTTATTTTATAATTTTAATTTTTTTTTTTGGTTGATTTGAATGTGAACTAATGCATATAAAATATGGATCATAATTTAATGAAACATAGCCAAAATTTGTATTAAACAAAATAATGATCTAACTATTTGATTATTGATTTGAACAAGGCCGAAGTACATATAAAACAAAAATAATAATTATTTATTCCCGTGGCTAAAGCTGGAAATGGCTGAAATCAGAAATTTTAAACATTTTAATATGAAAATTTCAAAAATTTTGGGTGTATGTTTTTAGTTATTTTTTTTTACAATTAGATTAGAATTTAGGGTTGGTTTGATAAAAAAAAAGTATAAGCGGAGTTAGTAGGATATATATTTTTAAATCGAGGTTTCTAATTTCTAGCTTTAGCCACAATATTTATTAAATTGAAATGTTCATAAAGCGGAATAATAGTTTACTTGTTAATTGGAATATGACAAAACAGCATTGAAGAGAAATCATCAGTGTAATTTTTGTTTCATATGCATTATGACTATTTATAATCTGAATCTCAGGAATTGACTTGGATTTGTTGTGCTGGCCTAAAAAATATTTTGGTTTATTTCGTATTTAACCAAGTTCTTGCATTTGCTTTGATTCGAAGACCACCAAAATTGTATTACTAATAACAATTTCACTAATAAGTGTATTCTATTTTTTACTTTATTCATATAACTTAATAAATATTTGCAACATTCTAATACTAATATATAGGGTTTTAGCCTACAAATGACACTTTATTACTCAAATAATTACAATTTTAATGTGCAATTTAGGTTTTAATCAATAATGTTTCTTAAAAAGTCAAAAATCGCATATACATATAATTGAACAATAAAATTGATAGACTTCATAATATGTAAGTTTTATATACCACTATATAATTTTTAAACATAAAATTATGCTATTGATTTTAAATTTTGTTGGAGTATATACAATGTAGATCAATAGTTCAGAAGTCATGTGATAGTAAAATCGATTCTACACCCTGGCATTGTTGTGCTTAGACTACTAAGCTATAGGGCCCTACCTTAATGTTTGCATTAATAAATTATAGATAATAGCATATATATACAGAAACTTTTTTTAGTAACAGACATGTAAGTATATTTACATTATTCAGCAAAAATTTTTGAATAACAGAAATTTAGTTCAACTGGGCAAATGAATGTGCCACTTCGCGCATATATCAGCCAATCATTTGCCTGGTCGAGCCAGATTTCTGTTATTCAAAAATTTGCCAAATAATGGTGTTATCTGACAATTTTTATTATTATTGTGAAAGGTTAAATCATGGCTCATAATAGAATTTCTATTTTTGAAAGGTTGGATACATAGTAAAGTTAACCAATTGTATACTGAAGTAGCTTAGATCGAATCTAGCCAAAGATAATAAGTGCAAGAAAATCACCAAGTCACAAAGTCATGAAAGTCGCAGAAGTCTAACTAGTTTGACTTATCGAACTTCATGAACTTAGCAAACTTATCTAACTAAGTGAACTTAGTGAATTTAGTAGATTTAGTGAATAAGTTTACTTGTAAATAATAGTAATGTAAAATCTATAAAAAAGATGACTTTGAATTATAATAAAGAATAACTCAGGAAGTTCAATAACTTGGTGAAGTTCAAAGTTTTAAGTTAAAGAAATCAGAGTATTTGACTTATGATTCACCCTGATAAATAAAATCTGCAAAAATGATTAGAAGTGACCAAATCTGTAATTCTGTATAAAAAGATTCATGACGTAATCAAGAGCTTTAATCTGACACTATTACTAAGAACCTAATTAACTCTGGTTACTTGAACTAAGTCTTTTTATGCCTTGATTATTGCTTTACCAATATTAGGGCTTGGTATATTAGTTGTAGTGTTTGGTTAGAGTATTTTAGTTAGTTTTAGTGTTTATTGTAGTATATATTGATATCATCCAGAATTCAAAAAAATATTTCTCCTTTTACATTATGCAAACTCTTATGATTATAGATTTTTTTCTTCTAGTTTTTTCTGTATGTTATTATGTAAGCACAACAATCCTGAATTACGACTCAGTTAGCTAATTACAACTTAGAAATCATAATCAAAATTGCATAATACATTGATATTGGTCATGCAACAATTAATATCATGAAATTTGTTTTGTCAGATCAAATAATTGGTTGACAAGTGTCATGTAGCAGCACATTTCAGCCAACTATTTGCTTTGACAAAACAAATTTCATGATATTAATCATTGTATGACCAATATCTTATAAATTATGATTGGTAGGGAGTCATTAGCTGAGTTTTAATTCAAATAAACATGAATATTTCATAGCACATGAAAAAATAACAGACAGAAATAAATTTATAATTATAAGAGTTTGTCAGATAATTACACTTATATTGCACATTTGTTATCTGTATATTTACTTATACAGTATGATTATGCTTCATATTTTTATTTGCAAATTTGCAAAGTGTGAAATTATATAACCGATTTCTTTTGGTGATTGATATTCATATAACTGAAGATCATTGCAATTTATTTTTATCAGTGCATTAAATTTATTATTAAAAAAGAATTTTACTAAATATAACCAGTGGTTAGCCAATAAATTTGCAGAATCAAGTGTATTGTGCAAATCAATTTGTATAACAAAAATTAAGATTTTTTTTAAAAAAAATGCCAATGCTAAAGCGGTGCAAGTTTTGAAAAATAATTTAATTTAACTTTTATTTAATGTCAGAATGATGAAGTCGGATGATGCTGAAATTTGGAGGTCTCAATTTGAAAATATAAATCCAACCAAAACCCACCTATGCTCTTTTATTATTAATAAATCTAACCTAAATCCTAAATTCTTCATTAAAAAACAGCTGACAAAAAGGCCCAAAAAAATTTTTAAAAATCGTATGCACATAAAATTCGATTCCGACATTAAATATTAGGGTTATGGTTAGGGCTATTTTGAGGTTACATTTAAGAGGCGTTATAGGTAAAATTACCTCCCCAACATTTTTTATTAATTCTCCAAAGTAGGTTTAGACTATAGTTCTTTGTGTTCTCGTTTTTCTCTTTTTTTCACTTGTTTTGTTTCGTCGGGCTGCAACCAAATTTTCGCAATTTGATTGGTCGATCATCAAAAACTCACTCCGCTTTAGCCATTGGATAAAGAAGTCTTGAAGATAATTATGGGGAACGTTAAAGCTATGTGCGTTAGAATTACTTTTTTTATGCATTTAAGATTACGTTTTTGATGCTGTAATAGTTAATTGTTTATGTAAATATCAAGAAGATAATTCATGCAGCATGTTCGCTAAAGCAGGGTAATTAAATAAGTTACTTTTTTGATGCAGTTAGGGTAGATGTTTTATATAACACAATTATGCAGTATATAGATCCTTATATTGAATTTATCCCGCTTTAGCGGGCCCCCCAAGTTGTTGAGAAGCATCGTTTATATTTTCCTACTAATGTAATTATTTGATAACGTTATGAGGATTAATAATAAACTTGGATTATTCATGCCATTTAAAGGTAGGGTGAAATAATCTACATTTCAATAGTGATCACGTTACTAAAATTTTTTACAATAACATTTAATTAAAATCAGGTGATGATCATATGTTATTTATGTTGTGTAACTTAGACAAATTTCAATTAAGTTAGGAAGAATTAACGATATATGTAAGTATATTTTTTTTGAATATAACAAAGGTTCAAATTCTATTATTATAATTAGATGAGTCTAATGTATATATTGTAAAAATTTTACAAAAAAAAATTAGATTTTTAAAAACTTTTATATGTAACATATGTTCAATTTTTGGGTAAAATTTTTTTAGTCAATATCCTTATATAGAAAATAATCTACATTCACTTTACCTTTAAGCTTTCTTAACTAGATTTTTAATTTTTAAAAAATATAATTACAATAGAGGTAATATAAATATAGTTAATATATGAAAATTATTACAAATCACTACTGATGATCATCACTGGTGATTTACAATATATAATTAGATATAATGTGTAAACTTTTTAAACAAAAGTTTATTTGTTTTGATATTAGAGTAAGAGTAATGGTTTGATAATAACGTTAAACAAAATTTATAGTAAAATTTTGCAAGGAATTTTTTTTGTTAGAGCCTGAAAAATAGTTTTATATACAAAATTTTAAGATATGATTGATTTTTTAAAAAATTTTTTGTTTTTATTACATGAAACTAATCTGCATATTACATTGGATCTTGCAAATTGATTGGCTAATTATACACTGGTGATG